TAATTTGTGGTAGTGGGGGACTGCGTTCGCGCTCTCCCCTGGTCATTTGGTACAATAGTAGATTGAGTCGTTTTTTCCTTGCAGTTCACGTCAGCGCTCTGTCGCTCCGTGCGCCCGCCGTTCCATCCCGCGCTGCTCGCAGTTTCCCCGTCAGTTTCCCGTCTCTCCGCACCGCTTCATCTCCCACTCGACGCTCCGTTCCCGTTCGCCCCCACTCCGCGCTCACCGCACGCCTCAGCTTCCCGCCCCGCCCCTCCCGCACTCGCCGCTCTCCCGCGCTGCGGCCGTCCACAGCCCCGCGCGCGGCGCCTTTCCATCCCGATGTCGGGTTCCTTCCCCGCTGACACGGCCGGGCTCTTCCCCACTCGCCTTTCCGATCCCGCCGCCGCGACGTCCCCGCAGAGAGCGAGCGGAGCGGCCGCGCAGCGGAACGAGGCGGGAGCCCGGCAGCACCGCGACACGGATCCGTTGTAGCTGCAGGGCGTGGTGCGGTATGAGTGCGGAGTAGAGCGTTCCGTTCTGCAGTTCAACCGAAGATGCCAGGGGAGAGCGCGAACGCAGTCCCCCACTACCACAAATTATGCAGTCGAGTTTCCCGCATTTGGGGAAATCGCAGGGGTCAGCACACCCGGAGTGCAGGGGATGAGCCTCGCCCTGGGAAAACCACCTGCCTGATCATGGTGTCTCCCCTGCCAGGTAAGTATGCTTTGTTCTCCCACCGCCCCGCTCCCCACGCCCCGCCACCAGCCCGCACCGCACGGCGAGCCGCTTCCCAAACTACGCAGCTGCTCCGTTCCACTCCGCCTCTCCGTGACCCCCACATCGCGGTCCACTCAAGTTCTAAGGGGCTTCACGCGTGTTTCGTTTCTGGTGCAGCACGCTCCCGGCATGCCGCGCGCTTTTCTTATTTGCATAGATCCGCCCCTTCCCACTCTACCCCACCCCCACGCACACAGAGTTACTACCTGCGCACCCCTCTGGGCGGAGCGCGGTTTGCATAGCCCCCCCCCCCCCCCCATCACACCTCCGACCGCGGGCTTTCCTTTCGGTCCCCTCCGCTCCCGCACAGCCCGGCCGAACCGATGCTGGAGGACCGGGCACTGTGAAGCCAATCCGCCAATCCCGCCCCCACACAGCGCCAGCAGCAGAGCAGACACACAGGATCACAACCGCGCACTTTATTCAGCCCGTTTCCCCGCGGTGTGGTCGCATCCCACACCTCTTCTCCAATCGCGGTCACAGCCCTGCAGCGTGCCGGCGCTGGGTGCCCCATAGTGCGAGGCTCAGCGCTGCTGTCACCGTCCCCAGCACGCTGCAGAAGAGTGGCACGGGGAAGGTGCCCTGTAAAGTGAGCACGGTGAGATCACTGCCCTCTCTGAGCCGTTCCGTGCACCCCTGACCTCACGCACCCACCTGCCGCAGACACTTGTAGCCATGGAAGGGGCTGGCACAGAGGCACTGCGAGAGGCCGGGGCCGTCCGGGGCACAGGCAGCATTCTCAGGGCACAGCGGGGCTGCTGGGCAGCACGGGGTCACAGGCTGTCCTGTCTAGTGCCACGCCGTGCCCCTGTGCAGGGCCATGGCTGGGGCAGGGAGAGCCCACCAACCTACCGAGCTCCTCAGAGCCGTTGCAGGGGTTCCTCTGGCCCCGGCACAGGCGGCTGCTGCCATACGTTGTCACCTCCTCCCATGCACCACTGCCACCTGGGCACGGTACTGCCGGCGGCACCAGGCTGCAAACCAGAGCTCAGCACCACGTACGGCCCCAGGCTCCCCCACCCAACCCCAATACTCACAGTTGCTGCAGCTGCGTGAAGCCCAAGAAGGAGTCAGCAGGGAGCGCTGGCAGCGGGTTCTCCGTCAGGTCCCTACCAACGCATCACACCGACTGCACCCCAGGGCCAGGAGGGACACCTCAGGGTGGGACGGGCAGCCGTGCCCCACCCGCACACCTCCCCCTTCCCTCAGCACTCACAGCACGACGGCAGCCGCAGCCTCGCTGAAGGCACTGGGGAGGGTCTGCAGGGAACAGTTGCTGAGGTCCAACCTGGGGAGGGCAGCACCGGGAGCCCCGTGTTCCCCCGTTCTGCTCCCACACTCCTCGGCCATACTCACACCCCTGGCCCACACCACACCACCCCCATGCCCTGTACCGCACCCAATACCCATAGCACACCCCGCACCCGTTACCCCACCACCCCCCGTCCCTACACCCGTACCCCAGCAGCTGCTGCCGCCCGGATGCCCGCCCCACGCAGCAGCGGCCCCACAGCTCCGTGTCGACCCTGGAGGCGCAGTACTGTGACACGACGGAGCCATTGCTCGGCGGCCCCGGACAGCTCCCGCACAGCAGCGTTGGGATTCCCCCGGCCCCGGGCGACGGCAGCAGCAGCAGCAGCAGAAGGGAGGCCGCAGCCCCGCTTCCGGCAGCCCCGCCCCGCCCCGAGGCCGCCCCCGGATGGGCTCCTTCTGGCAGCGGGGCGGGGCGCGGCGGGGCGGAACGACCGCGCGGTGCGGCCAATGGCTCAGCCATTAACGGAGCGCACCCACCGGGACCGCAGTGCTCCGCAGGTGCCGAAGCGCGGCGACCCGACCTCGGCGGCGCCACGTGACGCGTTCCAGGCACGGGATTGGACGAAAGGACGCTGACGGCATTGAGGCGCGCGGGGAGCGAGGTGGATGGAGGTGAGGCTATGCTCGGCGGCGTGACGTCATCAGCGTGCGCCGCGGCGCTTCAGGCGCACGTGGGCTGAGCCGGGCAACCGCCCGGTGAGTGGCGATGGTGGTGGCGGCGCGCAGCGGGGACGTGCGCAGCACGCAGCACGCAGCGCCGGAGCACGGCGCGGGGAGCGTGCGGGGCCATAATGTTCCGGGGAACCGGGAGATCGGGAAACCGGGGCTCGGGCAGGGGATGAGGACCGGGAGGCGGGATAGGGGGCACGGGGGGGATCGCGGGGGATCTTCAGGTTGCGGGCAGCGGGGCAAAGGAGTAAGGAGGGGAGCGGGGTATTGGCCTGGGGTCGTGGGGGCACCGGGACACGGGAAGCAGTGCCGGCACGTGGGAACACGGGGAGGCAGTGAGGGGGCCACGGGAACTCAGCAGTACAGGGAGCGCAGTTATGGCCTGGGGTTCAGAGGGGCACCGGGACACGGGGAACCGTGCGGGGGACATGGGGACACCGGAGGGCAGTGTGGGGACACGGGGATACCGCGGGACGCTGCTGCCGGCACGGGATACGTGTAGGACCCAGAGCCCGGGGGGGCAGAGCACCGTTGGGGAATGCCGGGGCATCGGGCCAGGAATGCGGCGGGGGGGTGGGAGGGGGATCGCCCCTTGTTGTGTCTCTGCGCGTGGCGGGTGACCTTGGACCATGCCCGCTGTGCGGGCGGGGCGGGCAGCGCTGCCCTCTCGCCTCCTTTCAGCACTGCCAACCGCTGCTCCTCGCTCCGGGCACGGCAGCGTGGGGCTAATCCAGCCGCATTCCTGCTGGGATCAGAGCCGCCCGCCCCGTCATCGCGCGGCCCCATATGGGGGTGCGCCTGCCCAAGTGCGGGAAGAGCGGCGGGTTCGGCCCGCACGGAGCCTGCCCGTCCGGATCCGGCCGTGCCGGTCTTGCCGGCTGCGGAGTTGGGGTCGGCGCTGGGCGGGGCTGCCGAGTTCGCTTTGGCCCGGGGTCGAGCCGCGGGGGAGCGGGGAAGAGAAGGCTGCGGTGACCCCCCCCGGGTATGTCCCCCCCCTAGATCCTTGAGGCGGGCCGAGAGCTTTGGAGCGAAGGTCCCTGCGAGGACGAGCGGGGCCGGATCCACCGTCGCCACCTCCCGCAGCGCCGGGCGCTGCCGGCCAGGTCCCTCCGCCCATGAACCGGAAAAGTGGGGGTGGCGGCGGGGAGGCGGCGGACACTCACCATGGAGTTCTCAACGGCAGACTACAGCATCTTCGTGCTGCTGCTGGTGCTGTCAGCGGCCATCGGGCTGTTCTATGCGCTGAGCGGCGGGCGGCAGCGCACGGTGCAGGAATTCCTGCTGGCCAACCGCAGCATGGGCTTTTTTCCCGTTGCCCTGTCCCTGCTGGCCACCTTCCAATCTGCGGTGGCCATCCTGGGGGTGCCGGCAGAGATCTATCGCTTCGGCACCGAGTACTGGTTCCTGGGCTGCTCCTATTTCCTGGGGCTGCTCATCCCCGCGCACGTCTTCATCCCCGTCTTCTACCGCCTGCAGATCACCAGCACCTACGAGGTGAGCGGCAAGGGGGTTTCCTGCCCCTCGTGCCCCGCATCGGGGTGGGGCTGCATCCCTGACCCCATCCATTTCTTCCTTCCCCCTCCCCCTTCCAGTACTTGGAGCTGCGCTTCAACAAGACCGTGCGCATCTTTGGCACCATCACCTTCATCTTCCAGATGGTAAGGGCTGGGTTTGGGGTCCCGGGGATGGAGTATGCAGGGGGGGCTGCAGCTCTCTGTCCCTACAGGTCATCTACATGGGAGTGGTGCTCTACGCTCCCGCTCTGGCACTCAATGCAGGTAAGGGCTCAGTGGGGTGGCTAGGGTAGGGATGGTGTAGTGCCTATCATCCTCATCCCTCCTTAATGGCACCCAGTGACAGGCTTTGACCTCTGGAGCGCGGTGCTCACCATCGGGCTTGTCTGCACGTTGTACACTACACTGGTGAGTGCTGTCACCATGCCACGTGGTGTGCCCAGTTTCTAAAGTGGCAGCGATGACAGCTGTGTCCCTCTGCAGGGAGGGCTGAAAGCTGTCATCTGGACCGACGTGTTCCAGACTCTGGTCATGTTTGCGGGGCAGCTGGCTGTCATCGTGGTGGGCGCACGGCGCGTGGGGGGCATGGCCCGCGTGTGGCATGTGGCCGAGCAGCAGGGCAAGATCTCCAGCATTGAGTGAGCTGCAGGGCTGGGATGGGGACAGCAGCAAAGCTGGGACATGCACATGGGAGGGGGATGGGATGCCGGCACAGCCGTGACTGTACCTAACCCTGCAGCCTGGACCCCGATCCCTACGTGCGGCACACCTTCTGGACGCTGGCTTTCGGGGGGGTCTTCATGATGCTGTCGCTGTATGGCGTGAACCAGGCGCAGGTGCAGCGCTACCTGAGCTCCCGCAGCGAGAGGCAGGCGGTGCTGTGAGTGGTGTGGGGACATGTGGGGATCTCCCCCCCCTCTCTGCCCACTTCTGACGCTCCTCTGGTGCCCGCAGTTCCTGCTACGCCGTCTTCCCCTGCCAGCAGATCATTCTGTGCCTCAGCTGCCTCACCGGCCTCGTCATGTTCGTCTATGACCGTGAGCACCCACTGGTCCCTAGCGGCACCCACATCTCCTCTGACCAGGTGGGTGCAGCGCTCCCCCATCCTGTGTCCCCCGTCCCCCCCCCACCAATGCTGCGCTTACCCTGTGCCCCCCACAGCTGGTGCTGTACTTTGTGATGGACGTGCTGCGGGACCTGCCGGGGCTGCCTGGCCTCTTTGTTGCCTGTCTCTTCAGTGGCTCACTCAGGTGGGTGCCATAACGGGGGACTGTGGGCTGAGGGCATGACAGAGCCCTCCCGCTCCTCCCTTCCCTCTTCCTCCCCCTAGCACCATCTCCTCTGCTTTCAACTCGCTGGCGACGGTGACAATGGAGGACCTGGTGCGGCCGCACTACCCTGGGCTGTCAGAGTCCCGTGCCACGCTGATCTCCAAGATCCTGGGTGAGCAGGGGGGAGGAGAGCGGGGGGGGCAGCAGGGTCCTGGCTGGGCCCTGAAACCCCTCCGTCCGTCCGTCCATCCATCCATCCATCCATCCATCCTTCCATCCACAGCTTTTTGCTACGGGCTCCTGTGCCTGGGAATGGCTTATGTGTCTTCTATGCTGGGCCCTGTGCTGCAGGTAGGGGATGGGGTGCTGAGGACACCCCTGGCCTCTCAGTGCCTGTTTTCCCCCCTCGGCCCCAAAACGGTGCCATCTCCCTGCAGGCGGCCATCAGTATCTTCGGCATGGTGGGGGGGGCCGCTGCTGGGGCTCTTCTGCCTGGGGATGTTCTTTCCCTGTGCCAACCCCACAGTGAGTACCCTGGATCCCCTTTTCCCCCCCCCACAGATACCCTGTCAGGTGCCGCCAAGGGGCTGAGTGCCTCTCCCCCCCCCCACAGGGTGCGGTGGTGGGACTGCTGGCTGGGCTGGCCATGGCCTTCTGGGTGGGCATCGGCAGCCTGGTGGCCAACATGGGGGGGGCCACCCCCCTGGCTAACAGCACCGTGCCCCCCCCAATCAACTTGACCACACCAACCACGATCGCTACCACACTGCTCACCTCCACGACACCCCCCCCTAGGTGAGCAACGTGGGGCTGATGGAGGTGGTCTGTGCGGGGTCTGGCTTGGCTCCCTCCTCACCACCTCCCTTCTCCCCCAGCTCCACAGGCCTGCAGAAGTTTTACAGCCTCTCCTATATGTGGTACAGCGCCCACAACTCCACTACTGTCATCGTGGTGGGGCTCCTGGTCAGCCTGCTCACTGGTGGGTGCAGGATGTGGGGCCGGGTGCTGCTCCTCCCCTGCATCCCTCTCACCCCTAAGGCCCCCCCAGGTCCCACACCGCCCTCTGCTGTGGATCCCCGCACCATTTTCCCGGTGCTGCCACGGTTGCTGTGCTGCCTGCCCGCCCGCTACCGGCAGTGGCTGTGCTGCGGGGTGCGCTTCCCCACACAGGTGAGCACCTCGCAGCGGGACGGGGGGCACCGGTGTGGTTGGGGGAGGGCTGTGCACAGCCCTGCTGCCCCCCCATCCGCCATGTGCCCGCAGGAAGCCCCCCACCCGTCACCCACAACCGAGAAGCATGTTCCCAATGGGCTGGGCGCTGCCCCACGGGATGACGCCGAGGATCAGGGCTACGGGCCACCCGCCTATGCGCTGCAGGAGACGGCCTTCTGAGCGCGACCGGGGGACACGGCACTCCCGCAGGGCTGGTGCTGCCCGGGGTTGCCGTGGGACCATGATGTGGAGCGATGCCACGCTGTTATCTCACGTTACCCACATCTCAATAAACCGTTCTTGAGAGCATCGGGGTCCTGTGAGGCCGGGAGGGGCGGCGGGGTACCCACGGGGCTGCGGCGTCCCGCGGTACGGCGGGGTGCACGTGGAGACCGGGCAGGGGGCGGGGCATCGCGAGGGGGCGGGGCGAAATGGGCGTGGATTATCATAAGGGGGCGGGGCCTGAGGGGGGGCGGGGCGGTGACGCGGCGCGCCGTTCCCGCAATGGCGCCGCGCCCGACCGAACTGTACCGGGCGCCTTTTCCGCTCTACACCGTGCGGTTGCACCCGCATCGCGGCCTCGCCATCACCGCTGGAGGCGGAGGAGCGGCCAAAACCGGGATCGGCAATGGAGTGGTACGGTGCTGCGCGGCTCCGGGGGGTGGGGAGGGTTGCGGGGCTCCCCGGGCGCGGGGCTGAGCGGCGGTGTCCCCGCAGCACTTCCTGCAGCTGGAGCAGATCGGGGGGCGGCTGAGCGCGTCGCTGCTGCACTGCCACGACACCGAGACCCGCGCCACGATGAGCATGGCGCTGAGCGGGGACTTCATCGCGGCGGGGCAGGACCACAGCTGCCACATCCTGCGGCTTTGCGTGCGGGCGGACGGAGCGGGAGGCGGCGACGGTGAGCGGGGATGCGGGCGACGGGTGCCGGGTGCCGGGTGCGGAGCGCTCAGCCGGCGGCTCTCCGTCCCCGCAGCCGCGGCGGAGAAGGGCCCGCGCAGACGGAAGGGCGCCGGCCCCGCGGAGCGCGGTGAGACGCGGAGCGGCGGCGAAGAGGTGACGGTGGAGAGCCTGCACCGCGTGCGCACCGACTTCAGCCCCGACGCGCTGCAGAAGGCCGTGCGCTTCAGCGCCGACGGCACGCTGCTCGTCACCGGCGGTGCCGACGGATTCCTGCGGCTCTGGGAGGTGGGAGCGGGGCGGGAGGGCCCGGGGTGGGTCACCTATCGGGGACCGGCTGACGGCCGCCGCAGTTCCCCAGCATGAAGAAGGCGCTGGAGTTCAAGGCGCACGATGGGGAGATCGAGGACATCACGCTGGGCCCCGACAATAAGGTGGGTGGGGGGCGCGGGCTGGGGGCACGAAGCCCCACAAGGCCCCGTGAGCCGCAACCGTCGTGCGCCCCGCAGGTGGTGACGGCGGGACGGGACCTGCAGTGCCGCGTGTGGCAGCGGGACCAGCTGGTGACAGGGCTGCAATGGAACGAGAACCTGCCCGGCATCCCCAGCACCGCGTACCGCTACCAGGCCTGCCGGTGGGTGCGGGACTGGGGGTGGCTCCGGGGCTGTGCCGTAGGACGGTGGCGGTGACCGCACGGCGCCGCCCCCTGGCATCGCGGTCGCGGCTCATTTCTGCTGCCCCGTGCCAGCTTCGGGGCGGTGGAGGACGACCGCGGGGCGCTGCGGCTCTACACGGTGCAGGTGCCCCACAAGCGGGAGCGTCGCCCGCCGCCCTGCTACCTGACCAAGTGGGACGGGGGCACCTTCCTGCCGCTGCTGACGCGGCCCTGCGGCTCCGAGGTCATCTCCTGCCTCTCCGTCAGGTATGTGAAGAGGTCCCACCCCTTCCATTCCCCCCATCCGCTCCCAGCCTCGCTCACTGCCCCCCTCCCTGCAGTGATTCGGGCACATTCCTGGGGCTGGGCACCGTCACCGGCTCTGTCGCTGTGCACATCGCCTTCTCGCTGCAGGTGAGTGCGGCACAGGGAGGGCACAGGGTGGGCACGGAGGGCCACCCCACCTCGTGCGTGTCCCCCTTCAGAGGCTGTACTACGTGAAGGAGGCACATGGCATTGTCGTCACTGACGTGGCCTTCGTGCCTGAGAGCAAGCACGGACGGGAGCTGTTGGCAGGGAATGAGGCAGCGCTGCTCAGTGTGGCCGTGGACAGCCGCTGCAAGCTGCACCTGCTCCCTGCCCGCCGTATGTGTGCGGGGCTGTGGGGTCGGGCCACCCCCCAGGACCCCACCCCCACTCAGTCTCCTCTCCCCCCCCAGGGTCACTGCCCGTCTGGCTGCTGCTGCTGCTGTGCGCAGCGCTCATCGTGGGTAGCATCGTGCTGCTGCAGATTGCCTTCCCTGGCTTCCTCTAGGCACCCTCCCTGCTGCACTGGGAGGGGTGGATGGACCTGGCCCCGGGCACGCTGTGGGAGTGGGACTGCCTTGGGATGCAGCGCCGACATGGTGAAGGGACACAGTGTGCCAGTGGCTGGCCTGGAGCTGCTACTTGGCCCTTCCATTAAATCCAGAGTGTGAAGGTATTGTTTGTGCTGGAGCTGTAAGGCTCTGGACGCCTCCCCGTCTGCATACTTTACCCTCTGTGCCCTAGTGCTGGGGTTGGGGGATGATAGGAATGGGGCTGTAGGGGTAGAAGAGGGGTCAGTAGGAACAGAAATGGGTTTATTGGGATTTAGAAGGGGTTCATGGGGGACATCAGGTGCTGAACCCCTCCACAGCCCCCCCTTCCTGCAGCCCCCTCAGCTCCTCTCCGTGTTGGAACACAGCAGTGACAAACTGCAGGAAGAGGCGCTCCATGAGGCCTCCGTGCCGTGGCAGCAGCCCCTCCAGGAATCCGATGTGGCCACCGCACGATGTTACCAGCAGTGCCACGTGGGGCAGGTGCCAGGCAGCTGCCACAGGGATGGCTGCAAGGAGACACGTGGGTCAGCTGCCGGCCTCGCAACACCACAGGGGTGGGCACAGCCCTTCCCAGCCCCACTCACCGTGCAGGGGGGAAAAGGGGTCATCGGCAGCGTTAAGGCACAGCGTGGGCACACAGATGCGGTGCAGGCTGCTGGCAGGGCTGGCAGCACGGTAATACTCTGTGCAGGAGCCGTAGCCAAAGGCCAGAGCGGTGTAACGCTCATCAAACTCCCGGATGGTGCGTGCCTGGGGGTGAGGGGAGGAGCAGGGGATGGTGGATGGCACTCAGTGCAGGGGGAGAGGTGGGGCACTGGGGTGGGTGCTACCTTCAGGATGTGCTCCACGTCCACCGTGTCCCCGATCACCGCGCGGTGCCTGCAGGGACCCCAAGTCAATGCAGGGTGATGCCCACCTCCCCCTGGCCTGCAGACTGGGGTCACGGTGGTGTGACCCCCCCCACCATCCAGGTGTGCCCCCACCTGCGGATGAGGTGCCGCAACCCGGCAGCCAGGCGGCGGTTGAAGAGCCACGTGTTGAGTGGCTGCTCCAGCGACACTGTTGTCTCCATGGAGTCCCAGCATGCAGAAATGGCCATGGCGGCCACCAGCCCTGCTGCGTGTCCCGCCTGTGCCAGGTAGTTCAGCACCTGCATCCTGCAGGGGAGGGGGCAGGGATGGGGGGGGTCTCCTATGCCACCCCCTGACCATCCCCCCTTCTTAGTGCCATACCCTCCCAGTGATACACCGACGGCCAGCAGCGGGGCATGAGGGTACTGGTGGCGGATGTGCATGATGGCTGTCTGCAGGTCCTCGGTGTTGCTGGCACAGAAGGTCCTGGGGGTCTGGGAGAGGCAGAGCTGTTTGGGGCCCTGATGTGCCCAGCTATAGGGCAGGGACCTGGGTAGGGGCCGGGATGGGATCTCACCAGCAGCTCTTCACCGCGGCAGCCACGGTTGTTGAGCACGACGGCCCTACAGGGAGGAGAGCGGCATCAGCAGGGGCGGTGGATTCACCCTCCCTCCGCCCCCAGCACTCACCTGTACCCGGCACCGCACGCCTCTCGCACCAGGTGCAGTATGTAGGCGGCCTGACTGTTCCCCGTCAGCCCCGGCAGCAGCAGCACCGTGGGGCATTCGGCGGCGCTGCCGTCATCGGCCCAATCCAGGATGAGCTGCCCGCCGTCGGGCGTGCGGATGGCCTCACTGCGGGGCGGGGATGCGGACAGGGGAGCGCCGGCCGTGGTACCACCCGTCCCGTCCTCACAAGTCCCACCCCAGGCCCATCGCTACCTGCTCTTTTCCATCTTCGATCCCTGTCCCCACCTGTTCTGTCCCATCTCCCGCCCCCGTTCCCACCCGTCCCATCCCCAGTCCCGCCCTCAGCCCCGTCCCCCCTACCCCCACCCACCCCAACCCGTCCCGTTCCCCCGACCCCGTCCTGCCTCACCTGCGGTACCCGACGTGAGGTCGGCTTTGCAGCAGCGCTCTGCTCACAGTCTGCAGCCGCCCCCCGCAGCACCACGCGGTGGGACGGAACGGCTCCCGCACGGCCGGGCAGTGCCGCCGCAGGAAGGAACGAAGCCCCGGACCGCCGGCAAGCAGAGGCGGCTGCGGGGAACGGCGCGGGGATCGCGCCCAGAGGCAGCCGAGCAGCGCGGCAGCCGCCGCCAGCAGCAACAGCGGCGACGGCAGTGGGAGCAGCACGGCGCTCCGCGGCCCCTCCGCGCCCATCGCTGCCGGGATCGCCCGGCCCCGCCCCCTGCGTGGCCCCGCCCACAGCCGGGCGGGCGTGGCTCCGGCGGCCATCTTTGTGCCGGGCAGAGCGGCGGACGCCGGTTAACCCCTGCGCTGCTGGCAGAAGTGAAGTCTCCGGGCGCGGCGAGGCGGGGCCGGCGACGTGGCCCGGGGCGGGGCGGGAGGGGGACACCGCCGTGTTTGCGTGCCCCGGGTAGTCCGTGTGCGGGTGGCAGTGTCGCCGTGGCCCGGAATACCTCTTCGAGTGTGCGTGCGTGGCGGCTCCACGCGTGGGTCCGCTCCGGCAGCGGGATGAGAGCCCCGCGGGCGGCCCCGGCGCTGCCGCCGCCGCTGCTGCTGCTGCTGCTGCTCGGCCCCGCCGCCCGGGCGGCTCCCAGGGACGGGGTGCTGCGGTACGGGGTGTGGGAGAGGGGAGTGGTGGGGCTGTGCCGGTGAAGGGTGTTGTGGTGCGGGATGACAAGGTGCGGGGGTCACACAGGTGCGGAATTGCACAACGGCACGGTTTCACGCGGGGGTTACACAATTGCGGGGTTGCACACCAGGTGCTGAGGGTCGGAGCCGCGGTGCGGGGGCAGCACAGGGGCTGCGAGCCGGGTGGTGGTAAGAGGCGCCGCGGTAACCTCCCCCCCCCCCATATTCCCCGTCCAGACCTGAGCCCCTCGCGGCCGTGGGGACGGATCCCGGCCCCGACCCGCTGAGCCCGGATCTCCCCGCTCTGCAGTGAGTGCCCGACCATGGGGCCGGAGGGTTCGGAGGAGGGGGTGGGAGGATGGCCGGGGCACTCGGGGACCCCGTGATTGGTTGCAGGGCAGTGGGGATACGGGGTTGGGTGGCTCCGGGGCTGGAAAACCGGGTCTGGCCGTGGGACGGGAAAGTGCGTGCTCCCCTCCCAGGCCCTGCTGTTCCCAGGTTGCTGCGTAGCGCTGTGCGGAGTCTGGGACCGCCGCAGCGGGACGCGGACGAGATGACAAGGGAGCAGGGTAAGGCCGTGCGGCAGGAGCGGGGAGAGGCGGGCGACCGTTTTTTGGTGGGCCGAGTATCAGCCCCTCGCCTTGTGCCCGCAGCTCTGCTCTTCCTCTTCGCGATGCACGACCACGACCGGAGCGGGCAGCTGGACGGACTGGAGCTGCTGCAGCTGCTGGGGGCGGTGCTGACCCAGGGGGGCGCGGGGCGGCCCAGCTCCGAGGCGGTGCGTGCGGGGGTTCGCGCCCCGCGGGGTCCCTGCTCTGACCTCTGCTCTCACTGCGTACCCATCCATTCCCGTCCGCGCAGGTGGCCGCGCTGGTGGACCGAGCTCTGGAGCAGCGGGACCGCAGCGGGGACGGACTCCTGGACCTCCCCGAGTTGCTGCTGCCCGCCCCGGCACGTGGACCCCCGAGAGGAGGCGGCGCTGCACTCGAGGGGAGGGCAGAGGGGCACGCTGGGGAGCAGGACGGGATCCCCGCGGTGGGGGAGGAGACGCTGGGGGAGAACGTGGGGGCGAGCAGCCCCCAAGAGGGACAGGTTCTGCAGGGGGATGGCGACGTCCAGGCAGAGGAGCAGGGAATCCCCAAGATCGGAGCCCCCTTGGAAGAGGACGAGACGGCGGAATCGGAGACGGCCATCGAGGACAGAGAGCCCCGGGTCGAGCCCTCCGAGGCGCCGGCATCCCCCGCCTTGGGGGATCCCAGGGAGATGTAGGCGCGAGAAGGGGCTGCGGGCAGTTCCCCGCCTCACGGCTGTGGGGGCTGTCAGAGCTGTCGGAGCTGAGGGTCTCCCCACGCGCTTCCCCCGCCGCAGCGGGCTCGGTGGCGAGGGGAGGGGGGAGTCAGGACACGCGGGTTCGCGCTGTAACGCGGGGCCGAGGAATACAGCCGCTGCTGCCCACAGTGTGAACAGAGCAGGGGGGGCACGCGGGGGCTGCGGCAGGATGCGGTGGCGGGGGTTCGCGAGCTTTATTGGGCGCGGGGCGGGGGGCACCGCGCGGCTCAGACGATGCCGTCGTAGCCGTGGATCCCGCACTTCTTCCCCGCGATGCGGCAGCCGAAGGTGAGAGCGTCCCGCAGGCTCTGCCCTGAGGGGGGAGTGACGGACACGGGGGGGCCATGAGGCGCCGCGGGGAGGTGAGAGGCCGAGCCGCGCCGAACCGCTGAGGCCGCGCGCACCTCCTGACAGCGCGAAGATAACGGCGGCGTTGAAGGTGTCTCCGGCCCCCAGCGTGTCCACCAGCCGCTCCGGTGGGAACGCGTCGACGTGCACCAGGGTCCCATCCGGCTCCAGCGCGTCGGCGCCCTCCTCGGCCCACGCGCAGATCATGGTCGCGCTGCGGTGCTACAGCTGGGACGGAGGCAGGCGGAACCCCACCCGCAACCGCGGCTCGCTCTTCCCACCCAACCCCGTGCCGTCGCCGTCCCGTCCCCGCGCCTTACCCTGGCCGCACGCGGCTCCGCAGCCCCCGCAGCGCCTCGGCCGCCGTGTTGTAGCCGAAGTGCTTGGCCAGGTCCTTGCTGATGAACACCTACGGGGGGCGACGGGCCGGCGTTCCTCCGCGCCCCCCGGGACCCGCTCGACTCTCCCAGGCCCCTTTTCAAGCCACACCCGCTAGTGGCCCCGCCCACTCCCACCTGGCCCCGCCCCCCACCCAATCGGACCAATCGCCGACGGGGCGTGGCGAGGTGGGCGTGTCCGGGCCGTACCACGTCGCCGTGCGCCAGGAGCGGCAGCAGTTCGTCCCGCGGCTTCTCCACCTCCACAGACGTGCGGATGCGCTGCGCGGGCGGCAGCGCGCTGTTGTGTCGCTCCACGCGGAGAATCATCCGCTCCTGCTCCGCCGCGTTGCGGGCCTGAAGGAATAGGGGGCGCGGTCACGGCGAGCCACGCCCCTTTCCGAGCCCTCCCCGCGCCGCCCCGCACCTCCCAGTGGATCCACTTGTACTGAGCCAGGTCGACCCGCGCGAAGTCGCGCTCGGTGACGTCGGGCAGGTTCCTGCGGGCGAAGGGCAGCCCGAAGCCTCGCCTCTGCCCCGGGCACCGGGCGAGGTGCCCCGGGCGGCCGGGGAATGATTAACGGGGGCCGCCCTCCGGCCGTCCCGCAGCCCTGCGGGAGCTCCGCCGATCACGGCGGGGACCGGGATCCCGGGGCGGAACACCCACGTGTCGTGCAGCACGATGGTCCGCGAGCCGCTGGCGGCGCTGACCACGCAGCAGGCGCAGGGCACGTCCCCGTGGGGCTGCCAGGTGACGTGCGTCACATCCACGCCGCGGCGCCGAAAATCCTCCACGATGAAGCTGGGGGCACATACGGGGTCGGGGGGGCGACGGGAGCAGCGGGGCTGCGGGCGCCCGGCACCGCGTCCCTCCGGTCTCCCACCCGCCCCGCCGTCCCCACTCACTCTGCCGCGTGCCCGCGTGCCAGGGAGCCCATGAAGGCGCAGGGAGCGCCCAGCAGCGCCAGCACCGTGCACGAATTGGAGGCGTTCCCCCCGCGCTGCCACCGCTGAGTCAGGCACCTGCGGGGCGCGGGGTCAGCGTGCGGGACGCCGAGCGGGACGCTGTGCGAGGCGCCGCGCGGGGCGGTACCTCGTGTCGGTGTCCTCGGCCGGGTACGCGTCCACCACGCTGATCACGTCGAGGCACACCAGCCCCACGCACAGGATCCGCTTCTCGCCTCCCGCCCCCGCCGCCATGCCGCGATCCGCGCAGCGCTCCGCTCCGCTCCGCTCTGCCCCGGTGGATGGGGGGATGGGGGGTGGCACTCCGCAGGCTCCGCCCCGGTGGCCTCACGCAGCCCCGACACCTCGCACCGCCGCCGCTCGCCCGCGGCTTCCACCCGCACGGTCCCGCCGGCAGCGCGGTGCTCGCGGGATGGGTGCGCGGTGCGTGCAGGACGGGTGCGGGTCGCCGCAGGGTGGGTGCGCGGTAGGTGCGGGAGGGATGCGCAGGGCTCCGGGCGGGCTCGGTGCGCGGTGTCTGCGGGCACGGGTCAGCACGTGCCCGAGGAGAGGCGGGGCGGGTTAATGTGTCACCGCGCGGGGTGCGGGGCGGTACGGCGTCCCGCGGGTGGGAGGAGTCGGCGCTCAACGCGGGGTCGGAGGTGGGTAGGGGCCCTGCGGGCGGGCGGGCGCCGCGGGGCTGTGTCCGCAGCCGGGTCCAGGCGGGGTTGGAGTTGTGATGCCGGTGGCCGAGAAGGTGGGGTGAGCACCGCGTCCCCTCCCATCTCATCTCGTCCCATCCGGCGACCTTTGCTCGGGCACAGAGCGCCCTCAGAGCCCTCCCCCTGCCGCGGAGCTGTTCAGACACCGCCGGTGCCAGGTGGCCCCGTGCCCAGAGCTAACGTTCCCCGTGCCTCGGGGCCGTTCCGCAGCCGCTAACCCGGGGGTTGTCTCCGGTTGACCACGCCGTCCCACTTTCGCAGGGATACGCGATGAAGCGGTGGCTGCGGGATCGGAGGCTGCAGGAGCGGCGCGCCTTCCTGCAACGCGCGGTGCGGGGACCGGCCGACAGCGGGGACCTCCGGGACGCCGAGCCGCCCGCCGGCTCCCCGAACCTCCACGGCCCCGCCATCGTGCCTGAGCCCCTCTCGGGCGACGCCGCCAAGCCCCCCCCCGACCCCCGGAACCCACTCGCAGAGGTACCCGGCGGAAAGCGGGGGGACGGGGGGGAAGCCGAGGTCGGGGACCGCCCCACCGACGTCCCCGTGCCCGCAGGGACCTGGCCCTTATGGCGGAGGCCGTGAGGCGCAGTGACTTCCTGCGACGTTTGGGAGAGGGCCGCCCCGAGGCTCTGGCGCGGAGCCTTCGTGACTGTGCGACGCGAGGACGGCGACGCGGTGGTGGCCGAGGGCGGCGAAGGGAAGGCCATGAACATCGTGGCAGGTGAGGGAGGGCTGCGAGAGCCGGGTCGCGTCGCCGTGTGCGCGCCCAACGTGCGAGGCCGCCGCCCGCTCGCCCCGCAGCCCCGCAGCCCCGGGCGCGCGTGTGCGTGTGCGTGGCTGCCGCGGTGCGCGAGGCCGCCCGCACCCCGCAGAGGGACGCCTGAGCGTGACCCAGCGGGGCCGGCAGCTCCGCACGTTGAGGCCCGGGGACGTTTTTGGCGAGTTGGACATCCTGTATCACTGCTCGCGCACCGCCACCGTGCGGGATAAGTGAGCTCCTGCCCGCGTGCCCCCAGCGTCCGGCCTCTCTCCCCCCGGCACCCCGCTTACTTCGTTTTGCCCCAGCGCTCGGCCCCGTGCACCTCTGGGCCATTGACAGGCAGCGGTTCCGTGCCATCACAACCGGCAACGCCTGGCAGCGGCGGGCCGATGTGCTGCGGGTCCTGAGAACGTGAGTACGGCGTCGGCGGGTGGGGAGGGACATCGAGTGCGGGAGGGGTGCGGGAGGGATCCAGGGGGGATGTAGGAGAGATGGATGCAGGGGGATGCGGGAGGGATGCAATGGGAATGCAGGGAGGATGCAGGAGGGATGCAGTGGGATGCAGGAGGATGTGGGAGGGATGAAGGGGGGATGCAGGAGGATGCAGGAGGAATGCAGAAGGGGTGCAGGAGGGATGCAATGCGGATGCAGAGGAGATGCAGGAGGGATACAGGGAGAATGCAGGAGGGAGGCAGGGAGATGCAGGGAGGATGCAGGAAGGATACAGGAGAGATGCAGGGGGATGCAGTGGGGGTGCAGAAGAGATGCGGGAGGGATGCAGGGGGGATACAGAATGGATGCAGGAGGGATGAAGGGAAGATGCAGGAGGGATGCAGGACGGATGCAGGGCAGATGCAGAAGGGATGCAATGGGGGTGCAGAAAGGATGCAGGAGGGATGCGGGGGGCGGTGCAGGGGGGTTGTAGGGGGAATGCAAGAGGGATGCAGGGGGGGTTCAGGTGTGCTGCAGCATGCACAGGAGCTGTGCCCTCCCACAGGGTGCACTGGCTGCAGGAACTGTCGGACAGCCACCTCTCCAAGCTGCTTGATGCCATGG